CTATTTTGCAGGATTATCGCGGACGATAAAACCGGTACGTTCGCGGCGGCGTATAACGCTTTCCGGGTTTGTTAGCTGATCGCGGTTTCAAAATAACCGCGGGCTTCTATCGAACGTTCCCGTCGGGATTGTTTTCGCGGTTGAAGGGGACGAAGTACCGCGAAACGTATCGCTCGATCAGTTCCATTGCTCGTTTGGTTTTGCCCGAGTAAATTGCCGATAAAGACATCCGTAAAAAGGACCCGTTCATGGATGTTACGCCGCACAAATGCGATTCCTGAAGCCGCGTGTTCCTCCAGTCGGCGAATACGTATCCAATAGAAGTTTCTCTTTATAAAATTGCATTGTTGCATTAAACACAGAAAGAGGATCGTGACAAACCGTATTAGCATTGATAATGGTAAACCAGTGGAATTGAAGGATATAAAATTAAATCGTAAATCTTCCCAGCGACTTTAAAGCGAATGAAAATAGTCGGTCGCGCGGAAATCATTTCCAAGACTTAATTTTTGAAACGACACGGTTTCTTTTTTCTCAAAGAGTGCAAGGATCTACTCGGAATTGCTCCATTCTCGCCGCGAGATAACACGATCATTCTCGAGTCGAATTGGCAGCTACGAAAGTAATTAGAATTCCTAATAGTCGCAAGTACGCTTAAGTAAGTGCCAGTAACAACGCATTATTAGGGTATAGATACTCGAGCAGCTTTTCTCCGGGGGCCGAAACTTGGGGTAGAGGTACTCTAGCTAAGAATCTCGCCATTACCGTCGCCTTTTGTGTAAATGGCTCTTGTTCGGTAGTTCAGCCGTAGTTCCCTCATGGGCGTGGCGGAATCGCTTGCCACGAGTATCGTAATGCAGGTGGGCATCCTGGTTCATGCTCGAGAACGCGTTCTGATCGCGTTAGTATCCAACGGCTAAGGCGGAAGTGCCGAGCTATCTCATCGCCGATAAGACATTAATCCGTGAAATATGTACGTGTTTAGGATAACGGCCGAGACGTCGAGCATCACGAATAAGGGTGCACGCCCGTATGATGCACTATCGAAAACGGTTCGATAACATGCAATATGAATGTCACGATGCTCGACATCCTTTCGGTAGCACTGATTCCAAGTGAAAGAAGAAGATAATACAATACACGCGCACAAAGGAGCGACGGAGTAATAACGCAGCAAACGTTGCTGTAGCATAATCTCCCGAGCGATTATTCACTTCGCCGCGTTCGAACCGCGATATATTATTCCCTTATCGTCGTTTCACCCTTCCGTGAATGACGCGTCTATCAGCCGTGATCTCCATGCGACATTCCGTCGGTGGTGTACTGGCGAGTGATGCGCAATCAGTATGACACGACGTCGGATATGCACGCACCAAAGTACACTGTATATCCTGGACGCATGACGCGCGTTCCCGACACAGTGGTCGGCGCCCGTGCGGACCCCATCGATCGACGCATTCGGGCGCAATCAATTTCTATCGGCAGTGGCGCGAATGGAAGATCATTATCGGCATAGGAATTCCCGTGTTCGGGCACGAAGGGACGGACGGCCCAACGGTGACTCTCGCTTCTGATGATATGGCACGTAACGTATGGGGCCTCATAGCTCGAGTTACTGCGATCGTTCGCTACTCTCCACCCCCCTTCGCGTCCCCGGGCGTAATACATTCAGCGGTTGCACACAACCGTGCCGGACTTGTCCCGCCGCTAACTTATCCTCGATACCGTCGACTGCGTATGTCTGTCAAGTTAATGTCCCTGATCACTGCGAACGTATGGTCACCGGTTCCGAGTGGCGTTACGAAAAATGTGACTGCGGCCCCTGGAATGGAAGTCGTCTCGATGCAACGACTTGATTTATCGAGTGGTTCTGCTTTGCGCCGACCAGGAAGATTAATATTGAAGGAACCGGACGTGTGATTATACATTGCCCGAGTGGCTAAACGGACGCATGCGGTTCGTACGAAGCGATACGGCCGTATGTTCAAGTCAATAATCAAAGCGAATGTGTAACAGAATATAATTAAGATACCACACATAAATTGAAAGGCGTGCGGAGCCGCATGTTGAGGTCACGAAACAGACAGTACGGGGATCTTCTTTTTCGAACGGATGTCAAAGAGTAACAAGCCATCTGGTAACGATACAAAGGCGATGGTGGTGCCGAACGACCCGCAATTTTCTTTCGGGAGAGAAAGTTCGCGTCTTCCACCCGAGCGTATTTCGCAGAGGTAGCGTCGATTTACTATCCTCTATACTTGTTAGACTTTTTTGCGGGCAACACAGCGAAGTGGTGATTCAATTGCGGACCGAGTCGCGGTCGGGCCACGAACGCGGTCCACCCTCGATTTATTTCACCCTGCCGGGCCCTTCACCCAGGGGCGCGGCATCGATCAAGGGACGGTGATCGATCAAAGATAGGGGATCGATGGCTCGGTTAAAGTCGTACCAGCCGGTTCCATTCTCGTCCTCTTCGGAAATTTCGAAATACTTGGCCTCACGGTCAGAAAGAACAAAGGACGTCGAAATATACGTCAAAGATCTCAAACTCAGCAGCACTCTCGGCATCGGGAACGACACATATCTCTTTCACAATAACTGTTTACGAATACATTTGCGTCGGTTTACCGACGCGACACTTGGCTGCACGCCGCTTGCATCCGGCTAGCAAACAAAGTTGAAGAGAAGTAACATTCAGTAGTATCGTGCTGCGAATTATTCCAACTATTGTAAAATATTAATTTAATATTATAAAATATTCGCATCACTTTCACGGCAATAAATACATCTCGGTCATTTGCGGTCGCGAATTACGCAAGTTGACAACTAGGTAAACAAATATCGATAAAAACGATTGGCATTTTCATCGTGAAGAAATTTCGACGATAATCGACAAAGAATGAAGATCGACAGATAAATTCCCGGTGCGCCTGCCACGCCGGTTCAATTGGACGATCGCGGACTATCGAAATAATTGATCGTTCCTCTTAATAGGCACTACCGTTCGCGAAGAACGTCATTGAATTCTCGAGATACCTGCAGCACTGTCGTAAAACGAACGACATCCTGCGTCTCTCTTAACGGAATGTTCGCGAGGAGTATTCGTCCAGTCGTTCGAGGATCTCCTAGAAGAAAATGACGCTCTCTCTCTCGCTCTTGTAGAAGGCTGACCAGAACGGACAGCGCTCACTGACGCAAGTCTCGGTTGCAGTACAATTGAGCAACGCGTCGATGGAAACTCCGGAACATCATGGGATCTTAATTTCGGCGTGACGTCGTTAGCGTTGCAAAAACGCCCGCACTTGCAGCTAACGACAAACTCCTCCTGTTCTCGTTAACATCGTATCTTAACGATGCTCGTGCTCTCCCTGACTTCCAAGCGGCGAGACCGGGCAGAGTATGCGCTCTATATGGCCCGCAATTTTGTTCAATGATATCCAAGGCCTGCGCGAGTAATGTGCCGAAGAGAATTACGCCACGAAATCATCATTAGTAAAACTTGCGAACTTGGTGCAATCGTTCAAGGAACGCAAAGAGTGATCTCGAGAAAACTAGTTTCTCTCCGCTGAAATCATCCTATTCTTGAAAACGTCGAGTGATATAGGCGATAGCGTTTGCTCTGAATTAGCGAATTAAAATATTTTCCCAGAATACAGCACGCACGGAAAGGAAGAAAGGAGCCTGTCGAGCGCGTAAGGTTTCGAGATGGGTGTCGCACGAACGATTTCATTTAACGGCGCCAGCTGGGCCGTAAGCTTACAAATTGCGCGCGACGCGGTAAGCCGTCAAATGGCATGCATGTTGCGAAACGTTATTATGCGGAATAACGCGTCGCGATAACGGTAAAAAAAAAGGTTCCGTGTCCTTTTCGCGATACGACCGTTAAATCCGCTCGTATTTCACTCCATCGGGAAGTTGGATACTCGTCGCGCCCCGGGGGTGGGAATAAACGCTGGCAATGCGAGCAACAAAAGGGTCTCGAGCCTCATGAAACAGTAATAAGCTGTTGCCGCCCTCGCGATACTCGCTTTTGGTATTCCTGGCGTGGAAATGAAGATCTCTCCGTGTTGCCGCAGACCGCCCGCTCGCAAGTCGGTCAGCAAACGACGGTGGAAGTCTCGAAACTGGTTTGTCAGATAATTGAGATCCACCAATGGGAATCCGAGTAACTTGGAGAATCCCGGCCGACGGACTGTAACGATCCTGTGTACCGCGGACGCGGAGATTCGCCGAGGTGGTATTTCCAGCAACAAGATTTAATGGAAAGGCGAAAAGGGAGGAAGAGAGAGGAAGAAGAGCCATGCTACCGCCCGGTTTGTACGTTTTCTGCATGGTCATTGATTCCCTACGCGCGCGGAGCACGAGACAAAAATTCCGGACACGTCGTATCGCGCGGTATCGCCCTCGTCGAAATTAATCGCGGGCTCTTAGCGCCTCTAGATATGGGCGTGCGAGATACATGTGCGGCTCTAGCCGATTCTGGCGCGGGGTACTTGAAAAGAATTCCGTATATCTTGTGGTTCAATGATTTCTCCTCAATCGCATACAAAGCGAATCTTTCGAACGGAAACTCCCAGTCATCCGGAATTGATTCCGTCGGTACTTCCTCCGGGCGAACCTGTTTTCCGCAAAATAATGTGAGTATAATGCCGAGCGAGACCCCTCTTGTGCGCGGTTATTGCATTTCATTTCGGCTGCCGACTTTTTGCTCTCCTTTGAACGGTCGTTCGGAAGAATACGGAGCGAAGAATGCGGAATCGTATTGAAGACAACACCGAGGAAGATTGTAGAGGAGCTCTTTTGTCCTTGCCTTTTTGTTATAATTACGGGAGGGAGGAAAACATTAGCAAATCCCCATCGCGGACACCCGTGTTTGCGATTAAAAGAAAAACGTCGGCGACACAGGTGAAGCAGCATAAATAAAGGGTGTTTTTTAAGTATGAAAATGGACGTAAATTGAAAATATCGCGCAGTACGAGTCTCTCTCTCCCTCTTTGCAGAGCCCGTGACGGAAATAGTCGGCGGTCCCGATCTGTTCATCAACAGGGACAGCACGATAAATTTAACATGCTACGTGAGGCACGCGCCCGAACCGCCGCCGACGATAACTTGGAGTCACAACCATCAGGTAAGCCGCATCTTACGATTCGCGAATAAGGTTCTTGCCACTAGCTGCGAAAATCAGCTACCGTTAAGTCGCGAAAGGTGCTTTCAACCGAGGCCCAATTGACTTTCATAACCGATTTTGATTTTGCGAACGGACCGCAGATATCGACGCAAACAGAAACATTTTTCATGTTCCTCGCGGCTGTTAGAAAAAAAAGCCTGCAGCTGTGTACGCGTCTCTATCGGCTTGGCGCGTATATCGATTATCGCTGATAACGTGCCTTCGTTCCTTCGAGCGTGCGATATTTATGGAAGACGCCAACAGCGACTTGCTTTCTCGAGATGATGTATTTCCGGTTCGAGCGACGCAGAAACCATAATTAAAAAGACTCGCATGCCCATCCCTCTTCATCCGCGGTATAACGCAAAACTATTGTCATTGTAATGGGAATAAGTATTTCCATTAAATATATCAAAGTTTCTCTCTGTCAATACCGCGAGGCGATTCATTCGCTAAGGAACATTGTAAAAGTTTCTCGGGGAGCATTCGCCTTGGAGACGGCCGCGTTATTAATAATAAGTAGACAAATGCTCTTGCATCAGTTTCATTTGAGTTTAAGAATCAGACGATCGCACTTATTTCTGTGCATATATCTGGAACAACCGAGACGGTTGCATAGACGTCGCTTTAAGTTGTAGTTTCGGAAAACTTGTCCGGGAAATGCTTTCTGTCATTCAGGGAAGACATCCACAGTCGACACTTTTGCCTCTTCCACTTTGCCACAAAGTGCCTTGAGTCCCGTCTAGTCACGCCACAGACAAATGATATGACGTCTGTTTCTGCCTTCTTGCGCGAGCAATTAACTTCTAGATCGGTTAATTACGCACGTTTATATCGCTACTGTCCAATTATCTTACATTTCAACTAAATAGATATGTATCAAAAACATTTGTGATAAATGGCTGCGATATCGTAGCATTAATTGAAACTCCCCATTTATTTAAATTTCTCTCGTAATTGAATTTTCGCTATTTAGACATATATATTCAATTAATATTTATTTCAAAATATTGCACTTCCTTTTAGCCAAAATCATTATTAATTTTTCTTTTGCCAGCACATACACGCGCATTCATAAATCGAACAATTGTAAACCGCAATTTATACCGGTATTAATTAAATGTGATCAAATATGATTAATTTAAAGGCGTAATAAATTCTGTCCCAATGAAACTTATAAAACACATATTTTATAAATATATAGTAATTTCTACAGCCGTTTGAATCATTAATTATCAATTATTGCAAAATGTAGCATTTGTGGTTTTAACAAAATTACAAATAGAATTGTTATATTACGCCGTTTCTTGAAAAAGAGAGAAAATAAGCAGGGGGTAAGAAAGCAGTGATTTATTCCTGAAAAGTTATGTTTTCAGCCGCTTGGGTTTAAACGGGTTATATTCATTATAATCAATACGAATCGCCTTCCTACGGCTTGAATAATCATTGGAAACGTTTAAGTTTGTTTAACGTTAACACGTTAAAAATTGAGAAAGATGCGAAATCTAAGGTACAACATATTGCATATATCTTAATTAGTGCTTGTGATATTTTCATAATACACGATCGCGCGATAAAAACACGTGTCGAAACAGCAAGAGGTCAGGAAATGAATATAGAAAAAAAATGCTTGGAAAAAGGATTTCTGTCATCGCGGGGAACACGGTCCGTCGACACTTCCTGCTTCTTCCTTTCCCGCAGAGTGGTCCCATCCGTACTTGGTCACGTCAGAGGCGAGTAACCCGACGTGCTTTTTATATCCTTTTTCCGCAGGCGATTAACTTCGACTCGCCGAGGGGTGGCATCAGCTTGGTAACGGAAAAGGGACCCGTGACTTCGAGCCGTTTACTCATTCAGAAGGCGATCGAGAGAGACTCCGGCTTTTACACGTGCGCCCCCAGTAACACTCGTTCCACCAACGTGCGGGTCCACATAGTCAATGGTAAAAGAAAAATGCCAATTTCGTTTAGAACGGGCGTTACGTGCAAGCATCCGCACGTTACTCGTCTGGATTCGAGTGAGACGTTCTCTAAAAAAGCGGACTCGCGAAAAAAAATCGCAATGTGCATGGAATATAAGTAGATACGCTCGGAACTCCAGTAACGATTCGTAATATAATTTTTATCGCAAGAGAATACGAAAGCACGTCGTTTTACGTAGAAACGTAAAATAAAATTCATTGCATAAATCGTATCAATCGATTAATTAACAATTAGATTGCGGGCGTATAAGAAAATGAACTGGAGTTACTTCTTCTGAAAATGAGGGGCCATTCAACGGAAACGGTGTCTGGAGTAGCAAGTACTTTTCGGAGTCTACGGAAAAAGGTGTCTCGCGAAAACTGTTTAGCTTGTAAACGTCAAGTGGGGTCTCTTGGTTCAAAGCGAGAGCTCAGTTCCGCGGAAACCTCGCTCTAAATACCACCTGCTAAGAGCCGACCGAGCGAAAACGGCATTATAGCGTGGCGTTTGTTTCAGAAGAACACCCAGCGGCAATGCATCACGGCAGAGGCGACAGAATGGCCGCGACGCTGCTTCCGGTCGTCCTACTTCTTCGGATGATATTCTAGCCGACGTTATGCACTCCGGGTTGAATGCGCGAACTTAAGCACGGTCGCCTAACTCTCACGAAACCATCGGGCGGAGATTCTGTTTCGCGGTTTTGTCCCCGGGGATTCGACTCGCTGCGACGCGCATTCGACACGTTCGCCTCGCGAAAGTAACGGAATCTCATCGTAGATTTGCGCCGCGACACGTCGCGTGTTTCCCCATTACGTCGTTAGAGCGTTAGGCTGATTGGAACGCATCCGCGTTCCACGGGGGAATCCAATTGTCGCGTCGTCGCCTGGAGAACGTGAGTTAAAATAAATATTATTAGTCTAGATGTGCATCACAGGGCAAATGATGAGTTGCGGACATATATTTAGTTCTGTGCGATTACGTGGTCGAAAAGGAGAGCAAAAAAATTTTGCTTAGTGGCCAAAAGATTTGATACAAATGAGAAATATTTTTTATTAGAAAGTGTTACATTACATCCAAAGAACTTCTTAATCTTCACCGATTCTGCCGATCGTAATGGACAAGAGCCTATAATAATTCTTAAACACGATTAGTCGAATGTACTCGCTGAACTTACACGGCGCTTTCAAGGCCGTTGTCATTTCGTGAAAAGGGACAAGGTCTGGGTTCTTGCCCCACTGCGGAAACAAGTACGAAGTCTTTTTCTGTTCCGGCAAAGAGTCGCGAGTCCGTTTCCGCCGTCTGGAATCTTTCCTCACTTTTCGAAATAAGAATCGCCTGCGAAGAAAGAACATTTTCGCAAATGCCATACCAATGTAACGCGTGACCTAAAAACGGTCCGACACACATATTTCGGAATTTCTATACTTACTCCTGAATATTCCGATATTTACGAGAGACGAAGCAGCAATATGAAGAATACATTGTAAGAATCGAAAGAATCGCTTTGAATACTGTCCGATACTAAGCAAATTTAAAGAAAACATTTCCTCGCACAATATTCGAAGAACTTCGAAAACCAAGAAAGTGGATCGATTCGCAGAGTTAAACGGACACACAACGCTGCGTAAAATTACGTATTGATAAAACACAAAATTTGCCGAATTGATCAATGGGTGTGCACTCTCGAAATATTAAGGTCTTGTATCTAAAAGTGACGTCTATCATTTTCGCTAAAAGATCTTGAACATGAACACCGCGAACTCCATATTGCAGTTAATTCAATTATTGATTGCGTTCGATAGGCTCGTTCTCGTTGCAACTATCAACAATGCCTCGGCTGCGACGAGTTTCGAGTATATTAGGAAGTAATCTCGTTATCGAATTATTGATTGTCGCGCAGGAAACAAGTTGGGGGCTCTAAAAAAGCAGAATTTCATTTATTTCAAACACGCCTAAGGAAAGTAATTACGGTAGGCGATGATTTACCGAAATTTTATCAGGTTCTTTTCAATTGGTTTATAACGCGTCACTACGGATTGTTTTAACGAAAGCAAATAAAATAAAAAACTACATAAATTAACACTAACTCACATAAATAAAAGATGTCGGAAATATTTATTGGAAAATTGAATTGATCGCTTTGATTTTCCCCAATAAAAACTTCCTGATATTCTATACTATTTTTATAATTACATATTCCGCTAATATTCTTTAAATAAAGTATCAAAGACTATAATTATATATTTTTAAAGCAATAGTTTACACAATTTTTCAATAAATATTACCCACATCTGTTATTCACGTGAGTTTGAGTTAATTGATATAATTTTTAACTTCATCTGTCCTTGTTAAAATAATCCATTTTCCAGTTGAATGGAATTTCATACAATCATGTCATATTCTTTTTCTTACACGTATTTACACTTAATAAAATTCTGAAACATTAAAACACAACGTGTTAAAATAAAAAAATTGTGCTACGTTAAAACGTGTAGACTAAAAATCAGAAAAGAATCAATCTCGGATGAGAATTACTATAAGAGATGTTTCAAGGACATATATCGGATTATACGGCAAATACATTCGTATAAATATGCGTCTCTGCATATCAGACGATAAAATCTGCGCTCGGCTTCGGAAGTAAGGATAGACGCGCCGTGACGGCCTACGAAACGCATAGAATCTGAAAGTTGGAAACTTGCGCGCGAGAAAGCAATGGACTTTCATGCGGATACGCAAATATAACGGAGCTTTTCCGTGCTCTCGGTGGCGCGACGCGACGTATCTACAGGAAGAAAGCAGGTTTATTCGTCGAACTTATAATGGCTCGACTTCGAAACGGATTTTATCCTCGTTACGGTTACCGGTAAAAACGTATTGTTCGAAAGTGCTAGCTCTCGGGGATTCGAACACGTGCGCCGGGACGATCCCGCGGTTGTTCCGTTCCCCGCCGTAAAAGAGGACTGGCATTGTGCCTCTGCAGTGAGCTTTGGCAGTATTGTTGCGTCGGAAATGTACCTCGCTTGTTCAGGACCACTCACGAAAACGGCTTCGATATCCTCGGTGATATTCTTGTCGCTATTAGCGCCCAAGACCGAATGTTTCTTCTATCAATGGGACCATATAATCGGTGCGCGCGTTGGTCCAATCGCGAATAACTCGTATTAGCAATTGATGCCGGCGTGCACGTGTAAGAAACGGTCCTATGGTTGCTATATATACTTTGTTAGAAACGTGATTCCAAGAATATTTCGGTGCCAGTCTTTCTATTAGCTTTTAACGACGCCGAAATTCGTTGTACTTGGAGGATTTCACGTATAACATATACGTTTTTATAGACGTCAATATATGTACGCGGCTAAGGAGACAGAGGAAACAATTGAAAGGGCGTAGATTAAGTGTTACTTGTCATTCTCTATAGAAATCTTTTTCATGGGCCTGTACATTTTCGCCGAATTAATGTTGCGAATTGTGTCGACAAATTTTATTTGCCATTGTACGCATTAATAAAAAGAACAAGAGACACTCAGATGCGAATGACAAGTCGTACATGAACGACCTGCATTAACTATACTTTTTTGGTTAAATAGGTTCTTACACCGGCTTGTTTGGCAATTGTCGATCCTTGGCACGTGACCTCGATAACTCTTTAATCGCGATTTTTCTTAATTTTTTGTTACCTCTAGCGTCACATTTTAAAGAGGCAATTTTAATTAATACTTGAGTTAATGGACGCTAATTACCCTCCTTTGGGAGAGGAGGCTCTTTCACGCCTTTTTGTTCGCTGCTTTGTTATATAAACCGGTTACCTTGCTTAAATTTCACCTGTCCCGACCGCAACATCTCTTTTACCTTCCAAACCCCAAAAGTGCTTCTCGCGTCCACGAAATCGGAAATGTATTTAATGACCTGACGTCTTTTATGATTTAATAATTTAACAATACCGTTGTGTTTTTATTTTAAAATAAAACTTATAGAATTATAATTATTAAAAATTAATGTTTAAAATAAAAATCACGGAGAAAACAATTTCAAGTAAAATAACTTCCACGTATCGGCGAGAATCAACAATCTACCTACAAAAACGTAAGTATCTTTAAAGTATCTAAAGTAGTTTTCTATTTCATACTCTTATAACGCACACAGGATACACTCGCAACATGTTCGATAATTGATAAGTGTACGAGGGTGGTTTGAAAAGTTTCTTAAGCGATACATAGATAGCATCATTTTTCATTTAATTTTAAATTTAATGGATAGTTTCTCACCTTTTATAAAATTGACATAACAATTTCAAATCGATCTATCAAGTGGTTTATGTAGCACCTCAAAATTATTGTGTTTCATAATTCTAAAAAGAACTGAAATTTGTGCAGTAATCACATTCTTTTTCTGAAAAGTAAAATAACTGTGGAAATAAATTCCGAGTTGAATAATGTTCTTCGACATTCCTTATCTTCACTTTCGACCTAATGTTTTTGTTCGAATTTCATTTCTTTCTATTTTTCTAGAAATGTTAAACACAACTTGGAGATAATGTCAAATACAAACTACTTGACAGAACGACTTGCAATTTTTATGTCAATTTTACAAAAGTTAAAACTATATTCACTAAATTGAAAATTGCATAAAAAATCAGACTATCTATGTATTGCTTAAGAAACTTTTCAAACTACCCTCGTACAAAAGTTCAGCCCCACGTAATTATTTCCATAATTATTATCTTCGTATAACACAAAGCGCAGCTAGGAGGAAACTTTCCGTTACCAGGCAATAATTTCCATCGCAAATGTAATTATTAACGCTGCCGGGTATTATATATGGCGTAGTTCATTATATGGGAATTAATAAATTTAATGACAGTTTCAGCGTGCGCCATATCGCGGTACAGCCGGTAGCAACGCATTAGTACAGTAGGTTCATCGACGAGGCACGCATCCAATTGGAAAGTCGATAGACCCTGTTACGTGACATGCGATCATACGTTCCGTTTCACAAGCTCTAGGTACAATACGGGCATTTTTTTATATTTCGTTTCCAAGTCACGATTTTTTACGACTAAGCATAAATTTCAGCGACAATAGAACCAATGGTGCAGTGTAATGCAGTGACGGTTCAGTAGATCGAATATCGAAGTATCAAAAATACATCAAAGTAAGTGTCAAATCTGAACACGTGCACGTGTGCATGATACCGATATTACCATTTAATCGATGGATTAATAAACGTAACAATGTATCCAAAAGGAGCCACCTCAGATTTGAATTTTTTACTTTAATGGATATCACATTTTACGTACATGTTTTATATAACATTCTGTCAACTCGGACTAATATCGTAACTCAAATTACAATAAAATAGAGAACTATGTGAACGCGGAAACCGCAAAGGAAAGAATTCAACAATGAAATGGCGTAAAAGCTGAAAAGGAAGTTTGTAGGTACATTATATCGTCCAAAAAAATCGATCTAAAAGTTCACTGCAATTTTATCCCCTTCACTGCGATATAATCTTTCGCAACGTTTTTGATGAACTAACATAGGTTCGATTAGCGGTGCCGTTATCAGCGGAACGTATATGAATCCAGAATAGATACTCGTACAAACAGTACGAGTAATTCTGTCAGTTAGTACTTGATTAATACAATAGGTCAATCGCATATACGTACACATACACGTGCACACATACATATACACATTGGATCTAGTCGTATGTATCGAAATTGCTATATCTACACGCGTAACTGACGTTGGCAGGTCATAGCTACGTGCGTGTGTTGCACTGCCCAAGTAATCACGTATATCACATTGTCATAAGTATCCGTGCGAACGAGTAGACTCTAATGCATCAGTCGGAATATGAAGAGGACTGTTGAAATTGTACTGCTCCAATTAATATCTAAAGCGGCAGATAACTCACGGCCTCCCTCATCCGACATTCGGATACTATGCGTAGCAGCTTTCGGTGCCAGCAGTTTCAGAGGTCCCCCCCCCCCCTCTCTCTCTCTCTCTCTCTCTCTCTCTATCTCAATGGTTGTTTCACTTCGTGTTATTTCGAGAAACTCATCCGCAGATAATGATAAGCAAATATTTGTCTCGGAGTTAGTAGCGACGCCTAATCCGAGTCACGAAAACCGTGACAAATTCCGGACGGAAAATCGATACAAATGTAAATATGTAATTCGCGAGACCTGGCTGGCAAACAATTAGCGCTCTCCTCACCTTACATATTCATTTCGAATTTTAGCTCGGTTACCGTCGCAAAAGTAATTGCCCTCGTAAACACGCGTGGTGTAGAAAGATCAACACTGCACTAAAGTAATTGAATAGGAAACATGTTTCTCCCCTCGTATCTGCGGTGTTTCAATATTTGTTAAAATTTGTTGTGAAAAAGGACTGAAAGTTGAGCTTTACGTCACAAAATATTACATTGAGCGAGCATCATTACGAATATAGGTATTGAGTTGGATAAAAATTGTTAATTAATTTAATATAAAAGTAAGCGCAGAAATGAAACTAAAATACACGAAATTCATTAGAATTATTATAATAATTATTATTACAAGTGACGGTGGTTTTATATTCATAAAACTGCAAAGCCGTATAGAAATTTAGTATGCAAACTGCGCATGCAAACTATGTTTAATTCTCTGACGTACTTAAACGTAATATTAAATCGAATTTGCCACCGTCGACGGGGGTAACGAGCAGACTTTGGTAAGCACTTGTATGTTAAATGATTCGATCTCCGCTCTGTCACACAGTTCAACGCGTATATTTCTTCATGACGCAATCAATCTGGGCCATTGAGAATTGCTTTTGGCAATTATCAGCGAATCGTATGATCTACAAGTATAACGCTCTTATTACGCTAGAACATACGCTGAACATTGAAATCAGTATTAACAATCTTCCTCATTCGCCAGTGTACTCTCTGAGTCATGGTGTTTCATCTCGCCACAAGCTCCACGGACAAAGCACTCGAGCGAAATTTCATTTAACTGCGAAATTAGGCACCGCGGTTGAATTACTTTTCGGGCTAAAAGCACTCGCATATGGCAGTTTGTCAAAACTACGGACGGTTCTTTGACGCCACACTTGGACGATGTAATCAAGCTTGATGAAACATTAGGGTCACTTAAAACGTCGACAAAGATCAGGAGAAAGCATAGCTAGCGCGGTTTTTCCTAACTTTGAAGTGGCAGAAATACTATGTAGAATATATCTTTCGCTCGAAATACATATGTATTATATTATATAATGAAACGGTTAATATTAACAAGCTATTATATTAGCGATGAATTTTACGTGCAACATGTAAATTATTAAATTCTATTTCTTTTTAATATGAAAATTCGTAACCGAACGAAAATATTTTAAGCATTATTTTGGTAACGAAAACAAACCGTAATAATAATTAATATTTACAAATATATAAAATATACACAAATTATTTATATCATATTTCGTTGATATTTGTTTATATTTTTGAAAAAATTTTTAAAATAATTTATTCAACGAAAAAGGCAACGATACAAAAAGGATATATTTTTTAAATAATCTATTTAACATATGATTTTGATCAATTACCATAGGCTATTAGTGCGCGTGCTTCTCGGAGGCAGCACATCGTATTTCAAAACACACGCGCTACACATGTTTTCAACATCTCGTTTTTCGTAATTTGCTGAGTGCCGAATTACAAGCAAAAAATACCTGCCGTATTCTTTCGTGTATAATACGCGCGCGTGCTGAAGTTTTCAAAATGCTATAACTCTACTAAAAATGGTTGTATAGCGACATAGAACAAAACCTGATCCTCTGTAATCCGCGCTCCACGGATACGTGTACGTATGCTCTTATAATCTACATACGTATACAATAAGAAAAGAAATAAGACAAAATATTAAAGTATAAAATATGAATGTACACCTGATGATGTATGCATAAAAACAACATTGAACAATTTTCAATGTGCATATGTCTGACGTAAATGGATGAAAGATTATATAACATATTTCGATTAAATTATTTAATATAAAATGATTAAAGGATTATTACGTTTGTTATAACGCGCTAATTCTATTCTAATCTTTTAGAATCCGTTCATTCGTATTTATTGCTAATTTGATTTTATGCGACTTAACAGAGAATGAAATAATATGATAGATCGAGCATGTGCGTAATTGCAATTATGAACTAAATGGTGTAAATTGTTTATGCAATATTATTTAGTCCACCACTTTGATCACTTATAACTGAAAAATGGTTATAATATTCTTCTGCTAGGATTTCTTTTCTGTTAATTAATTTTCAGAACATATCGGCATTAAAATATAATGGCGGTCGGAACATTGCGATAACTTTGAGAGAAACATTGGTGTTTTTTTCAAATTTTTTTATATTCTTTAGATACATATTCGCGAAAGTTTACACTGCGCCCTGTCGAAACTAGATCTAATAATATGGATTTATGCGAAATAAATTATGAAAATCCTGACTGAAATTACATATTTCATATTCTCGCCGGCGACACGAAAACCACTCTCATACAACCATGATTA